TCTCCAAAGTTTCCTCAAAATATTGTCTTTCATCTCATTTAGCTCATTATCCTATATCTTTTTCCATTTTTCTTTACTATCGCTTTCTAACTTTTTAAACCATTCTTTTGTAGTCTGATATATATTTACATACTTACATAATACTTTATATAATCGTGATATTTTCCACAGAATACATATATCCTATCTGCTTCCTTTCTCAATAATATTAATTTCCTTTCTCATTAATATATACACTTAACACAAGTAAGAATATGTAACGTCAACTAATAAATGTCAGATCGCATATAACACATATTTTTGTTCCAAATACAAAAATAATCTTTTCAGTACGAATTGTATATACATATATCACTGCGATGAGAGTTAAATGATTCAATAATTGCGATTTCAGTCAGTAACTATATCAGTGTAACTTATTGTTATTGCATTGACACGCGTAATTTATTCGTAATAAATACAACATTTTTTTTAAGATGACGGTCACCGATTTTGTCGATCCACACTGAAAAAAGGATTTGGTTGACGAAATCAAAATTTGGTTAAAATGAGATCAACTAAATGTTTAGTAATTACATAACCAAAAAGTTTAATTGCTGCTATTTTACTTTGCTTAGTGACTAAGTAAATATATTATTGAAAAAGTAAGGTAAAATAACGGCAATTAAGTTTTTTGATTATAATATAATTACCAAACATTTGGTTGATCCTATTTGAACTTTGAAATTTTAATTTCGTCAATCAAATCCTTTTTTCAGTGCAACTACCTTTTTCTCAATGGACAGATACATCGTTGTTCGAGTATTGATTTGCGATGATTTTTATATATCCAATTTCTAAAAGGGTCTAAGATGCTCGCGTGAAACACAAGAGACGTCTTGATTGCGAATTTAGAAAGTTATCCGGAAAAAGAAAAGACGGGATGAAAAGTGAATGCGCGCGCCTTCAGGAAAGACGAAAACAAGAGGGCAGTTAATGAATCCAGAAGTTCCATCCGGGTCGAGGGATTCGACTAGCACAGCTTCTTGCTGACGTACCTGGGTATGTTTCGATAGTGCGAGCTGCTGGGCGGAATCGCGAAGACGGCGTTCCGCAACCTCATAGCGCCGTTTACCTTGGCGACTTGAATTATGCAGGTTGGCCTCGACTACCGCTCTCGCGCCCACGAACGTTCATTCCTTGCGCCGTAATAAGAATTTAACCGGAACTTTGCAGACAACCTAATTAAAGTGCAAAAGATCTGAAGCTCGGCGCTTGTTTTTGATATTTAACAGGAATTTGCTGCGTGTGGGCAGATAATATATTTATCCGTATATTGTTATGAAACAAATCCGACTTTTGATACGTACTACACTAAAAAAAATTATTTCTGTATTTGAAACTAAAGTATGACACATATGACTTGATTGGCATTACACATTTTTTACTTTCTGGATATAAGTTTAGAACGGAGATTAAAAAGAGCCTAAACAATTTTTTCCTACTTCTATCAAGACTCTATAAAGAAAGGTTCACTTAAATCCTACACAGAGAAATAACGCTTTTACAAATTAGCGCCTAGACTTATAAATCTGACTAGACTCTATCTTGGTATGTCTACGTAGACTGAAATGACGTGTTGACGTTCTATTTTGATATATTTATTTAAAGTAAAATGAATCTTTTCTTACATAGCATTGCTTACTACAATCTTTCCTATAACTTCTATTGCAATTTTTATCACAATATTTATTATAGTTTTTCTTATTATATATAATATTTTCATATATAATATATTATTATTATTATCACAATATCGAACATTTCTTTTTTCTCTTTTTCTCTGGCTAATTTATTCATTCATACTTTTCCTTCAAAAGCTCATAAAATATTTTTTAAAGTAAAATTTAAACTTAACAATTTAAAACATAGTAATATTTATCAACATATTTATCTTATAATTAACAACCTTTGACTATTAATGAGTAATCGTTTCTTCACTGTAACAGATTGGGGAATTGGTTAAGTCCCTAACCAATATGCCTTATTAGCACAAGCCTTGTCTGAGACATATATGTTAATATTAATTCCTGACCTATTTGCGAAATTCCATTTATAATTTGCCTATTTTGGTTAGCTGTATATATATTTTGATTATATTCGAGCCTTACGGTATCCACGTCAATATGAATATGACCTCTATTCATTAAATTCTATCAAGATTTTTCTTGTCCATATTTGAAATTTTAGACATGCCTATTTTAGAGTATTCCTGGCTAAAGTCACTACATACTTAAGATTCATTCCCGACTAATTTCTACTCGAGTATTGTCATAATTTTCACAGAACTGGTGTGTGAGTGTAAACCGTGCAACGCAGCACGTCGCGTATTAACAATGAACCAGCGCGCGCTATTAGACGGACCCAAGTTAATCTATAAACGCGATCGAGGGACTCTAAGCTGAGAAATGGCGTGGCACGTATACGAACTTACAAAAGCGATACATGCGCCCGGGATCTTTATGAGAGGAGTTGCAGCGATAAGACGACTTCGACTTCGACCCGCTCACGCCGGATAATCGGCACATAAAGTCCAGTTTAATGCTATCTTTAAGGCTCGATCGGTGATCCAGCGCGAAGCGGTAATGCCACGCTCCATTTCCGAAAGTTTCAATCCTTGTTATCAAAGCTCGGTGTATGCGGCCGTGCTACAATGTATTTGCTCTTCGTGAAAGGACATCTATAAATCTGAGAAGAAACTCAAAATGGATGGGGATGGTAAAAGGCAGCCGTAAGTAATACGGAAATAAACAACGGATCTGCAGAACTCCAAATTGATATCATAATGGGAGTAAGAGTGGATAAATGAAATTTTGCGCTGGAACTTCTATGACAGATGGTCTTTCATCTTCCGGAGGGAAAATATCTTTTAAAATTGAATATCAGTCCCCCCGGTCTCTCTTCGCTTCGCTATGTACCGCCTTACGACGGGAGGAAAATGTATTCGCCGTACGAAAGAATAAGAATTCGCGAAGCTTCTTGTGCTGTCGTAAAAATATAAATTAAAGTGCTATTAGTCACGAAGCGAAATGATTCATAGCCGAAGCGAAGTTAAATTACGAACGAACTCTTTCGTCCGAGACGAAAACAGGTGAAACCGCGGCGAAAGAGGAAAAGAGAGAGAAAGGGGGGGAAGAGGGACAGACAGAGAGAGAGAGAGAGAGAGAGAGAGAGAGAGAGAGAAAGACAGAAAAAGAGATAGAAAAAGAGAAAAAGATCCGTCACAACCAACCGTGCTAAAAATTGTGCAGTCACGCCGGCCAAGGAACTCTTACATTTGTCTTGAGTGAAAATTAGAACTTACAAACGCGCGGACTTGGCACACACGACTCCATTCGATTCTCTCTCTCAGCCGCGAAGGAAGCGAAATACAAAAGAATGGGACATCGCATTGAGAAAAATCTCGGTTATCAGAACAAAAGCATATTTGCTGTTTGGTGATCGTTAGGGAAACAGATAAAACAGTTACCGTTGCAAATCATTTCTCATCATTTGTCATCTTAACAAGCGTACGTAGCCTGAAATACAGATCACATTTGTTCTCGTCTATTTGGGTTAAGTCAGTTATGTCTCCATTACAGAAGTGCCGCTTAGAGTGGCAAATTGAAGATAAGCAATCATTTGTCCTCAGTGCGAGGGCATTTGCCATATCCCATATCATCGAATTTGTCGCGGATACTGTTACTTTGTTACTTAAACTAACGAAACTTTGTCTCTCAGTGTGCGGGCGCGACGTTCTATTTCTTCAAATTATTGTCGCGCCTTACGAGTACAGATTGTACGACACGCTAAAATGCATACGCACATCGGAATCCTCTGATCCACTCTCTTTCGCGAAGTATCATAAACTCCCGCGTTTCAGTAGCCCGTGACAGAATGTGTGCGTATTCCGAATGTCTTATATTCCGTATAGGAACATCGGGTTTCTCGGAAGAAGAGGGGCCGAGGGGAAGAGGAAGCGTTATCTGCTACAAACAAACAAAGTTTCACGTTCCTTGCGTATTTTCCTCTTTGGGTTATATAACCTACCTACCGTCACCTCTCACGGCCGAATGTTTCGCGGAGATTACCTGTCAGAATACGTATTTCCCGCTGGCGAGTAAATTTCTCTTCCGACCGAACCGCGAAAATGCTTCAATGTAGCGGAACGGTCGTTTCCGAAAACGAGCGTATTATTCTTCGTCTCAGCCAAGCTTTTTTCTCCTTTTAATTTGTCATAAGTGCGGCCTAAACTCGTCGTATTGTGAACGATGTCGAATATATGACAGAGAGGAGCCACGGATCTCTCTCGAAGACTCTCTGTTCCGTCCAAGGTAGTGCACGGAGAAAAAAACTTGATTGGATTAACCAAGTATCTGATAAAATATGAACGAACGAAAATTGTGGTTGAAGTTTCCAGAGTTCTGTTCAAATTAATAAGATATCCCGTTAACCAAACGAGATTTCTAGTTAGTCAGAAATCTTGTTAACTTGAAGAGAATTCTGATAACTCCAACCAGAATTTCCGTTCGTTCATATTTCACCAGATATCTAGTTAATCCAAGCAAATTTTTTTCCCGTGTATTTCCCGTCGGCTCGCGTCGCATCGCTATCTCGACGCAGCTTGTTAGTGAAGCCTGCTCTTCACACCACTGACAGTTGATGCAAACAAAGTACCAGACATTATTTTTGAGGTAGCAAAAAAAATCACTTCTCTCACGTGTCGTATATGTAATCGCAATTTCCTGAAATAATTTGGTCTGTTGGCAATTTACGCGGAAAAGCAGAGATAGACATGACCGAACAGACACGGGATAATTGACAATTGCGAAGTGATGTTTATTGTTGGAATGACTTATTGTTTCTGTACAGCGAAAAGAGAAGAACGTGGGAGGAGGGGAGTCAGGGGGAGACGCGAAGCTCGAACTATAACGCCATCTCTCTCATGCTGAATCTTAACTTGTTTCTAAGTTCTCTCGAGAGTATCAGTCTCTCGCGGCAAGGTAAACTGTGAAACGGTGGAATTACAAGTTGTGTTGTGGTAATCTATATATTCCTCGCCGACTATGGTTGCGATATTACAACGTCAGAATGCCGTTGAATGTAAACCGGCAAACAAATTATTCTTCTTAATGCACGCTATCATTTTATTCTCTATATAACCTTCTCTACTCTCGACAATGTTGTACGTGTATCCGTCTAGAACGTATATGTCCAATTAAGATTATTATTCTTGTTGATACCTAAAATATATCTATTTATCATTCAATTTTTGACTTAACTAATTTATAAGCACTGTTGGTTAAACAGTATTATCATTTTTATTATGTACACATATACACTGATAACGTGTGTATCTCCTCATTAATTGAGTATTATGTTATTTATGGCTCTTTTGGCACATTTGATTAGAATTGTACAAATATTAAGTTCTAAAATAGTTCTAAAATAGTTCTAGTATTTAAAAGCAATCAGTTATATTACATAGCAGTATGAGAGAAGCCAGTGACGAGTGTAAAACACTTCACAATAGATAGTTTTAATTCAACTAGGTTTCCTATCGTGAAAACATATTGCAATTTGCATGTGTAAGTGTGCGAAGTAACAACAAAAACAACTGATTTTCTACTTGTACTCTACCGCATTTGTGCATAAATACAGTGCGAATTAAATAAGTGCAAAATTCTTCAACCAAAGCCGAAGCTGTATGGGGATACATGTATGGTAATACTCAAAATATGTTATGCACATATTACTTAATTACATATATTATTTGATAAAGCGGCTGCACACAGATAATACATAAATAAACATTTGATAAGTTTAATGACCTATTTATGTGCGCGACTGATTTGCAACATTTGGACTGTGCAACATTCGAATGTAGTTTAGTCGCAATCGCTGCGATTGAAATATAATTTGGACTTTGCAGAGCTCGTAAGTATTTCATTTTGCAAATATTTTTAAGCTGAAATATCTCTATTAATTTGAGAAGTATTTATTTAAAAAAGACTATTTTCGCGGTACTAATGACGGCGTTAGTGCCTATATAATATATAAAACCTATAGAAGCAAATCATATTTCTGATCTTCACGAATTCGCGCGAGTGGAAGCTCAATATACGAAAATGCCATTATCTCTTCGTACGACAGGGCCGTTTACCGTTTGACAGAATTCAGCCAATTACGTTAAACGAGAAATACCTAACGAAATTTCCAGAGAGTATTCAACCCTCCCCCCTCCTTCCTTTCTCTCTCTCTCTGTCTCTTTCAAAAGCGCTTTTATATCATTTCACATCTCCTTCAGTTAGAAATAACCACAGTTCCCGAATTTCTCCGTGTAAATGGGCGTTTTGAGTTCTTGAAATTCAACCAATCACAAAAGCTTTGCGAAAGTTCCTTTTACAATTAGAGCTAATCACAAAAACATTAAAAATCATCTCACGCGCACTTCAACGCGATAACAATAACGTGTGTCATAATAAAAAATACGATTGATAATAAAATATGATTGTATCATAATATTTTTCTAATTTTTTAATTGCGGAAATATTCTATTAACTTTTTCATTGGTAAATGTGTATTAGACATTGAAGAATGTATCAGTAGACAGTAGAGTCAATAATATTAAGCTTGTCAAGTAACAAACGAAATTTTATATCATAATAGTATTATGCTATCACAACTGAATTTTATTTGGAAAACTGTAGAAACCGAGTGACGTATTAATTAAATAAACCTGTGGCACAAGTCGCGGCTACTACGACAATGAGCGCGTATAAGAAGTCTCGAAATCGGCAAACATTTAGTAAAAATTTTTAGTAGTAAAATATGTATACTTCCATTCGCGCGAATTCGTGAAGATTAAATTAGAAATATGATTTGCTGCTATAGGTGAGTACTAACGCCGTCATTCATACCGCGTTGAGAATAGTCTTTTTAGATAAATATTTCTCAAATTAATAGAGATATTTCGGCTTAAAAACGTTTGCAAAATGAAATACTTATGAGCTCTATAAAATTCAAATTATATTCTAATCGCAGCAATTACGACTAAACTACATTCAAATCTTGCACAGTTCAAATGTTGCAAATCAGTCGCGCACATAAATAGGTCATTAAGCTTATCAAATGTTTATTTATATGTTATCTGTGTGCTTTACCAATTAATATATTTGATTAAGTAATATGTGCATAACATATTTTGAGTATTACCATATATATATGAAATTTCACGCGAAAAGTCGTAAAACTTACTGACGCGCGCTGAACTAAACTACAAAATTACTTTCTACCGCGATTAACAAATATGTAAATTATTATAAACTGCAGGGAAAATCGCGAAATACTTGTGCTGCAGAATTTAGAAAAAAGATTTTTTTGAAGATGCAACGCTATATCCACAACATACTAAAGAAATATTTTCTTTTAAATAGACCCTACATAAGCTATTCAATCATCTATCATAGACGGATATATATATGTGTGTCTGTGTGTGTGTATGTGTGTATGTGTGTATGTGTGTGTGCGTGCGTGCGTGCGTGCGTGCGTGCGTGTGTGTGTGTGTATATGTGTATGTGTGTGCAGTAAAGAACGAAATGGTTTCAACAATCTTTTTCTAGTGAAACTAGTAACTCATTACATATGAGAATCAGTGCTCACGAGCTTGCGCGATAATCGATTATAATAAGAATCAAAATGACAATAGAAAAATAAATTTTATCAAGTCAACATAAAAATTATCAATATAAAAATATGTTAATACATTCTCAGGAGAACATTCCCAGGATAAACCGTTGTAACAGTGGTGCTTGAAGAATTGAAGAATCTTATGTTTCAAATATAAGAGATATTTAATATAACTTAAATTGAAAATCCAAGAGAAATGTAAATATGAAATAGGAAAGTAATACGAGCTTTCTCTCTCCCCCCCCCCCCCC